ATCAGTAGGAAGTGTAATTTTGCGATACTATGCGTAGAAAAACTGGAAACAAGCCAAAATATGGCGGGAAAAGTATCCGCCCGTGTGATAGAAAAACAGTGAAACAAAGAGATATTCGCAAACAAATGTCGAAGGGTAACGTAAACTTTACAAGCATTAACTACTACATGATAAACAACAGAAAAAAAAGTTAAAAATACTTTTCAGCGCAAAATTTAAGAAAACTAAAAGATAAAAATGTTACGCCATTGGGCCGCGCCAGAATAAGAAATAAACTGGAAATTAATAATTAAGTTCTTTCATTCTTTTTCCCTTAGGAAGCAGTTACTTTTACACCTGCTTTAGTTTGTTTATTTCAGTATACATCATGATGTAGCAGTGGCGGATCTAGGGAAGGGGCCCGGGGGACCCGGGCCCACCCCTTCTTTTAAGACTAAACTTCGGTCCCCTCCCCCGTAGTTTGTTGACTCACAAAGTGACCTCTCAAATAATCTAGGCTTCCAAATATTAAACAACTGTATTAGCCCTAACACCACCCAATTACGTTTTGGATGATAAGTGTGAAATGACAAAAAATACCTAAATAAACTAAAGAACTGCACTGTACGGCCTCTAGAATTTCAAGAACACTGCCAATCACAATTTAAAGACTGATTATTTTCTATTTAATTTTGACTTTAAGACTGAAAAAAATAAAAAATCGACTTAACAACCTGTTTTTCTTCTTCAATTTTATGACCTTAGCTGTGAGAGTGTGATCAAGTTTAAAACTGAAGAGAGGCTGATCTTAGGCCAAAGTATATATTTTTCTGGTTTCTCAAGTTAACTTCTTCCACCGAAGAAATATCAAAGAGGGCATGTACGAATTATTGGCCTGTGGAGTCAAGTGTATCCATACTTCCTCCGTACATTTTTTCGAAAATGCATTATATTTGTCGTTTGTGAGGACTGTGATAATCATGGTGAAGAATTTATAATAAGAGAGCCAGGGTAAACTTTTTATTGCTCTATTCCGTTTATTAAACATTAAAAAGGAAAATCCGGCAAATGCTTTTCAAATTCTTCACAAAGCTTCCAAAACTGGCCAAAGACGCTTCTTCTCTTTGGGAATTTATTTCCCGAGTCCAAGTCTCCTTAGAATATCATTCACGAGATTTGCATTTAAAGTGATTAATAATTCGATCAATCGACTGACTTTCGTCTTATTTGCTTGCCCTTCTCCCCTCTACTTCACTGGTTAAAAACTAAGTAATAGTGGAATAAGTAATTTATTTCGTAAGATTTCCTTACAGCCTCATAACATTTATTATGCAAGATACATGTTTCGATTCTATTCATAACAAAAAACTATTTGTGTGAAATATTGAGTATGAAATTGCTGCATGCATGATAAATGTATGGAGCTATAAGAAAATTCTACCTTCATTTCGCAATTTAAAAGTATAACAGGGAGAAAAGAACAATTCCTTTTTCTACTTCGGACATCCAATGTTTTTTAGTAACACAAAGTGTAAGGTGAATTGACGGGCACTCTTTCCTTATTTAGATTTAAGGTTTCTTCACGAGCACCGATCTTGAAAAAACTGTGATCATAGCTAATGTGCAGGTGAATATAAACAGCTGTGCAAAGCGAATAAATTAGCAAACCTTTATACGCTGATTTTTCAAAGAGCCTTAATTATGATTTTAAAGCTGTTTTATAAAACAGCAAAAACGAACGTTTTCCTGTAGGATTAGACTAGATCAGTCTTTTTAAATGACTTATAATCTGGATGTTACAACTCTTTTGTTAGTCTTTCATCTGTGAGTCCCAGAACATGACGTGGGTCTGTAATAACCATTGAACTGACTTCTGGCTTGCGGGTGACAAACAAAGGTTGAAAGCCTTTATTATAATAGTACTTCTTTCTCCGTCAATCATCTTCGTCTCATCTTACCAGTTGTCAGAATATCTCCATTGATTCAGTTTCCCCCTTTTTTTATAAAGAAAATTGTATTTCAGTGCATACACTCATATGCCTTTTTTGTATATTTCTAAACGAACGACTAGACGAACGTCTTCATTTTTTGATTTGTTGTTAAGACAGATCTCAGTATCCCGATTCTGCCTGATCTTGGCCTTGACTGTATTCCTCTTCTTCTTCCGAATAGTTACCCAAAAGGAGTTCGTTAAGTTGGTCCTGTTTGGCCAAAAAACGGAAACATATAATGCGACCGGATAGATGAACAATAAATAGAACCAGAGCGTGGCAGGAAAATACGATTCCAGAGAGCTCCGTATTTCCGGATGTGTTTTCCCAAGGTCTGCTGCCATGAAGAATTGAAGCAATCTGGAAAAACCAACTTCCCTGTAAGCTTAGTAAATAAGACCTAGAAAAACTCACAAAGGGGGCAAACCGATCGGAAACAACAGCTAAGAAGAAAACGAGGGCAGTAACAAAAACGAGAATGTAAAGAATACAATGGACATGCACGTTGAGTTCATCTCTTCCGTGAAGATGGAGATAGAACAGGAATCCTTCCACCCAGAAAGCAAGTGAAAGCACTAAATAGTCGAATTTTGGTGGAAGGGGTAGAAAACGATACCACATTATGAGATCTACGACACCGCTCAACCCAAAGAAACCGTACATAAGTGCGTGTCCGTGATTACGTAAGTTCTTGGTTATGAGTTCGCCTTGTTCGTCATATAATTTCGCTGAGTTGTTAAAAGGCATTTCAACCAAGATTCCGATTGCTGATAAGACCACTTTTATCATTGGCTCCAGAGGAATTTTGGAGAGCGTCGGACCCGGGCATTGATACCACACGAGTTGGAATCGGTTGGATCGCCTTTTCCCCTTCTGCTTATCTTTAGCTCGGAGTGTTCCGCTGCGGCGGTTCATTTGCAGGACGTCTCCAATAAACCACCACACGGAGATGGTTAAAAACATTGTTCCTGCCACAGCATGGCCTATGAACCCTCCCATCTTGTTTCCGGAGCTGGAATGAAGTTTGCCTAAAACTCAGTGACAGTGAACTTGCTACGAGCTATATTAGAGTGGCTCATACGGACTTTGACGAGGCAAGTGACGAGGCAGAAATAGGTGCATTTGGTTACGTTCGTGCTGATATTCTTTGAAGCAAAAAAATACGGCATAGATAACGGTTCTTTTGATCACCTTGGAAACAACATTAAGTGAACATTTGAGGAAGCAGCCAGCTGAATTAGGGTGCTCACAGAGAATACGGCAGTCATTAGTTACTAAGTACGCATTGGTTACAAGGCAATCGAACAATACTGAAAGAAAAAATTAACTGAAAATTACTAATTTGAAAACTCCTTTTAATTCTTGATACGAAGAGATTAATTACATATAATTAAAATAAACAAATATTGTGATTACTGAAAATTTATGTTAATTCTCTCATCAATACTTCCACTTCCGCTCAATAATGTGAACAAGCATTCGAATTACACGGTAATAACGGCTGAGTATTTTAAAGTATTCGACACTGAGATTTAGCCAACTTCATTTCAGCATGCGCTTCCACTAAGATGAGAAGATTCATAGGTTATGCTGTGGCAGGAACAATGTTTTTAACCATCTCCGTGTGGTGCACAGTAATTTTCAAGGAGTTATAATAACTCCTCTCGTGGGGCTAATTTAACTCCTTACAGTGAAGTTATTTTTTTGAGAGTTATTTTAACTCCAAAAAGGGGTTTAAAGAACTCTTTTTCAGGAGTAAAAGTGACCCCAGATATTGAGAAGTTCAAATAACCCCAAAAAAGGAGTTATCCTGTAACTAAAAATTTTACTCCATTTTTTAAAGTGTAAAATTAAGGGTGAGATCGAATGGGAAATCTGGATTCAAAATCCGGATGTCGCATTTGCGATTGAACGCGAAATCCGTGAACGGATTTCAACGCTGAGTGAATGATCTGTTGTTGGATTTCTTTTCTTTCCGTATCCGACAAAGAACAGCGGTCTTACACGTGCACGCCTAAGTAGCAGAAAAAAGACCACTGTTCACGAGAACCGCTTTGCAAATCCTTATCGAACGGTAAAGAAGGAAATCCATGAGATCCGTATTTGGATTTCTTTAATGTAATTCCCCATAGGAAGGATTTCTAGCTCGAAGGTGAAATCTATTAACGGATTACGCTTTCGATCGATTTCAAAATCCGCAATCCGGATTTCACCAATCGAACGCAACCTAAATGTTTACTTGTCCATTGAAAATTGAACGAGGAAATCAGAAGAATCACTCAATTATTTGAATTGTTCACTATATGAATGCAAATCTCATGATATTCTCAGGAGATTAGTACCATTGTCTCTTTGGAAAAAAAGACGCTTCGACTGAAATAACATTTCTTTTTAAGTTACCCTGGTCAGTATTGTCCGTCATATAAATTCTTCCTTGAGAGTTTTCGAATTTTCCGCTCGTGTGGGTATAACTAGCGCCTGCATAAACTTCGGTCAGTGGAGTATCTCATGACAGCTATTCCTGACAAAGTTTTGAACGTGACTACATTGTAATTTTTTTTCCCTGAAGGGCGTCCAGTTCCCGCGACAGCTGACTCTCCAATTCAACAAGGATCTCGTAGCAAGTAGTAGAAATATACAGACGTAGTCTTTTTGTCTACCTCAGATCTGTGAAGCGGAGTAAGCTTAAATTGAAAACGTCTTGGAAACCAACAGCTTTCCGCGAGCAGAAAAGCAAGATGATCCGTTACTTTCTTATTGTCTTATCTTTATTTTGATTTCTATTTCATGCTTTTGACCTTCTGTTTGAAAGAAAGGAGCGTGACGTCACAATCATGTCAACAAATCGTTGTAGACAAAAGCGTGTAGTAACTAGCATAATCACAGATGGCTGGGCAAAGAGTAATGCAATAGACGTTGCAAGCTTCTCTTGAAACGATAATTTCCCCAAGACTTACAAAAAAGCGACAAAAAGGTAAGTATAAAGGTTTAGTGTCTTTTGGGGGGCCATTAAATCTTGCTAAGGGCTAAGAGGCACACTCAGGATCAACGATCCGTTTAGTTAATGGATTAGCATCATCGTTTCCAGTGACTAAAGAGGCATGAAATTTGCATCAGCCGGCTTAGTAGTGACAAAAAGCGGTCATTTCTAGTTTGTCTATTTAGCATGGCAGCCAGACATGAAGCAACATAACCGAAAATTTCATTCTGGGGTAACGTTGTCTTTTTTTCGTTGACGCTTTCGTGACCCTAGCCAAGATCATGCACCCAAACATCGAGTTTACATTCGCATGCTCGATCCTAAATTTCAAACATCTATCACGAGTTCATCATCTTCTTGAATTTAGAAACATACGCAGCATGTCTGCAGCAATACGCTGTCCCGAGGAACCAGGTAGCTTTGCGTATGATTTTTAATGTAATAAAAGTTAAACTTGAGTTAAATTACAACATAATTCATTGGTTGTTGATTAAATTAACTCATTCATAGGATTTTCACCGGACCGATGTAGTTACCTTGTTACATCGTACTCAAAATTTAATGCAAATCTTTCTTCCTGAGCAAAAAAAACTGTTATTGAAGACAATAGCACAAATGCTCGGAATCTTAGCTGTGATAATTCTGAAGCATTTTGTTTTTCAAGTACTTTGAACTGAAGATAACAACAAAGATATCGTTTACTAGCTGCATCATCATGACTTCATTTATTGACCTGCCAGTAGGAGCCTTTTGAGATTGATTTCTTCTATTTCATTTCTTCGGGCGAGCCCCGGGGGAGGAACACCTTGACCAGTTTAGGATGCGCGAAAAAACTTTAATACCTTTCGCTTAAGACTACATCCGCGAGATCATGGATTTGTCTCTCTAACTTTCGAGTCTGTGGACGAAATCCTAAAGTGTTCAATTTAAACGAAACGTCTTTAGTAGAACTTTGCATAGTAGTCTTCATTCCCTTCGAGTTTTTTTTTTATTTATTTTCGTTTTTTTTTCTTTGGCCAAAAGGTTAAACCCTGGGAAAAAAAAAAGAAAAAAAAAAAAAGTTGACGGTTGACCCCTGAAAGTTGGCACGCTATTTTAAGGAAACTGCAGATAACGCAAAATTCAGTTTCAGTGGAAAAATCTTGCTTATTTCCTTTTCGTGAACCGTTCATAAGGCAAAAAAATATATCGCCTTGTTACCACCTTAACATGAAGTAATGCTTGAGGTGAAAGAGACGGAATAAGTTTATAGTTAAGATTCTCTTTTTTCTCCTCCTTCGGCCTGTGGTTTTATACGTACACTTTCAGTCACCCAAGAAAACATACCCCATTTCGCGGTAGGCACAATATGGGAGTTCCCCCGGATCTTCTCGCAGCAATTTATGAACTATGATCAACCGCGTCGTGACAAGTTTATGAGCGTCCATTAACCATACTGTAACTGAATGGGACCCTTGCAACGGGAACGTGTCGCTGTCCGTTGAAGTTACGCAGGAATTTCTGCATCGTAGAAGTTTTATGACTGTTCTCCACGTTCGTTTGTTTCGTCTTATCTTTCACCAAAAGTATTTCCTGATCGACAAATTAGATAACCTTTTAGGGAAAGGTCTTCAGCATTCGATGGGAGTAAAAATCCCAGCGCCCGGGTGGGCCGGAATTTGTAATTATTGTTTGTAGAAAATGATGTTCTTTTCTGGAGGAAACGGGTGTTGTATTTGGCTGATCTAGACTGAAGGAACTTAAAAGAAAGAACGCAATTTAAAAAGCGAGAT